CCCCAAAACCCCAAAACCCCAAAACCCCAAAACCCCAAAACCCCTCGAACCAATTAACTAGTTGAACTCTTAATATGAATTTTTCTAATTTTCAGATCTTCACTTTTATTCAAATTTCTCAACTTCGATGCTCTTCTCAGGAGACGAGTTCGACTCTTTTTCATTTGTATCTGTAACAGTAATTCTTCAGGAATCATTCATGCTATCATCTAGCAATCTGGAGGGAGTAAAATGTATCTCAGTATTGTTGAGAGCATTCGTATCTTCCATCTCAACAGAATATTCTAATGTATCTACAGACTGACTCTGCTTTGTAAGTTTTTGGCCAGGACCATTCTTTTTATTGAGGAAATCAATCATGGTCTCTAATACTTGGGAAGTCTCCATCTGTCTTTCATCTGCGATATTAGCATACTCTGGGTAAGTTTCTTTCAGGTCAAGATGTTTCTCATTAAGAATGAGTAAGACATTTTCATAATCCTCAATCATGAACTTCTTTTGATCTTCTGTGTAAGGGCCTTCTTCTTTCCTCATCTTTTGAAGAGTGTTTCTTCTTTTCTGCTTTCTCTCAAGTTGTCTCTCAAGATCTTTAATTCTGATCTCATAGCTTTGAATCACCCTTCTGTTTTCTTCTTCTAAGTACTTTAGCTTGTTCTTGAGAGGGAAGTCAGAATGAGCTCTAGCCTTCTCTTTCTTGTTTATCTATAACATGATAACGAGGATATACCTTTTCAGCTCTATTAAGGATCTTCTCAGTAAGCTCAATGAGAGATAGCTGGCTGGTAGGAGCTCCGTCAACTCTTGTCTCTGATCCGAGTCTGTTCTTATTGGGTTTATTTGAACTGGCTTCTAGTCAAACTTCCTAATTTATCACGAGATTTCTTTCTGTAAAGTTGAGATTGAATATCTTACCTGTCTACAGATCTAAATCCAGATGCACCACCTCTTCTTTTGGGGCATATTAAGGTTGAGATTTTCTCTAGATTCTCTCTGACTGCAAGCGCAGTTGAAATGTCAATATCGTGAACTGCTCCACTTGAGTATTCAACAACGAGGGGTTTGCCAGAGCTCTTTAGATCATCTTTGATTCTTGATAATACTTTAGTTGAACGAACTGATTTCAGAGTACTAAAGAGTTAGCCAATGGAGTACCTATTGTGACCAGCTTTCTGGAAAGACCTATTAGAGTTTGCACTTGCTGTCTCTAACTTGTTGAGATTCTCTGCCATTGAGCTGGTGTTCAGATATCCTCTCTATAGAGAAGTTAATCCAGGTGAGATAAAACTAAAGATAAATTTGGTTGAAATGGCGAATCTTGTTGAAGATATAGTATTTCATGCTTTAAAAACCCTTTGTTAGAGATTTAGATTTTTGTTAAGAAGATCCTTACCGAACTTTGTGGTCTATCCTGAGTATTTATTAAATTTTTATCTCCTGATGATTGAAGCATCGATTTGTTTCCGGAGCTGAGTCTGTTGTGGTACTTTTTCGAAATTGTATTAAAATGTGACGACTCAGGAACCGCAAGGCCTTTCATTCCAAAGCTTTTAATGCCAGATTTCTATGAAACATTAGCTCCTGCTCTAAACGATCTTTCTTTTCATCAAAGCAAAGATCCAATAGAGTTGAGGCTTACCTTGACAGTTTTATTCGAACTGGATGTCTTCTTCTCTTCATTCTTCTTACTCTTAGCTGCATCTTCCTTCTTATATCTCTCTCTTAAAGGACTTGAGTATAACTTGTTGCTGAAATGAGAAGTTGTTTCTTTCTTCGTCTTATGGTCTTCATAAATGCTACTTGACATTTTGCAAGATTAGGATAAATTAATTATTTATCTTCACCAAAGTATCAATCTGAAATATTTGAAAAGGGGTTTTGGGGTTTTGGGGTTTTGGGGTTTTGGGG